GAGTATCGAAAGTATCGATACTCAAACAGAAAATATCGATACTATGGTTTGTTTTATTTATCAGTGATTTTGTTAATTAAAAAAAATAAAAATAAAAATGCGTACAATATGCATTGAGTTGGATGAATAACCTTTGTTAGCGAGTAATTGTGTAGGATAGAACTATTTTCCTGCTCATCTGAACACGCAAATGTTGCAAGACGGAACTAATCAATCACAGAGTGTTCACTCACTTCTGACAGTACATTCAAACAGGGCTGCTTTTCCTAAAAGTATAATAAGAAAGCATTAAAGCTTTTGGGAACGGTAGCCCTGAACAATGCTTATCAGAGGACAGAAGGACAGAGTTATTTCACAATAAACAAACTGAAATTGTAGCCTACATAGTTTGTGCAATTACAGTTATTTAAATTGAACATTGAAAGATAATATTGATCATGTTCTATTCTGTAATGTTAATAGAAATCATACACTGTCAGAATAAAAAGGTTGCAGTTTATGCATGCAACAGCCTGTCACTGGCAGTCCCTTATGAAAATGAAACATGGTTTTACTAAAGTGACCGTAGGTCCGTAGTTCAACTGTAGTATTTGTAGATTTGAATCATGTGTAAACAAAAAACCTATTTGAACCATGTGTAAACAAATATAACCTAATAATTTACAATTAAGGCAAATTGAATGTTAAAATACGTTTTAAACAAAGTTAAGTGCTTATCATTACCCATTTTACTCTTAGAAATTTAACAATTTCATAAATTTCATAATTTAAAAGTTTAGTGCAGAAGTATCGAATCGATATCTTAAAAGTTTAGTTCAGAAGTATCGAAATCGACGATACTGCCTTGAAAAATATCGGTATCGTATCGAAAATAAAATAAGTGGTATCGCCCATCCCTACTTCAAACTGCGTGTCGCGTTCAGTTATGACAGTCATGACGACGAAACTCTCTACAGGATGATACAATGTTCCTATTATTATACTTGATCTGTAGATAAACATCAGCGGTTTAGCATAAAAGGACTTTATCTTGCTGGAGTTTATAGCTAATTCTAAATCATGTTACTTTCTACCGGGTGTCTGTTAGAAATCACAACACTGGCCGTACAGAGCACTATGAATTGTTCTTCACGTGCAAAGTAACTGAAATTTAAAACTGTAAAAAATTAAAAAAATTAAAAATAAGCCTAAATAAACTAATCGCACATATATAATACACTACTCATCAGTATCTCTTCCCTTTGTGCTTTGAACTTTTCTATGCGGAGCGCTACACGCTGTGACTCCGTGTTGCTTCAAGCGCGTCATTCTGCGCACGGGATACGCATAAGCGCTTCGTGCCGCTTTGTATTGGAGCCTTTCATGTTATAATACTTTTGCGCAATGAAAGATTGTTAATAGCCTTTCTTGTACTGTCTTATCTATCATATGTCGCCGCCTCATTACTGTGCTATAAATGTAAAAGAAATGTTTTTTATTTATTGCA